CAATTATGTCACAGTTTAATATTAATTGCGTGTCGAACTTATGTGATTAGATCAGAGATATTATTGAGGTATCGATCCGAAGCAAAGATATCGATTTTTTATTTGAAATATGTAAATTGGATATTCAGATTCATTTTTAACTATGTCTTCTCAAATAATAGTGATTACAATGTGCAATAATTTGTTATTTTCCTTTATTTAAACAGTTTTGTAGAATTAATACTGATTGATATGAAATTATTTTTAAGGAATTTGATTGTCCGTTTAGCGCATATGTAGCACTTCTCTGTTGCAAGTCCTTTCTTTTGTGTAATCGAGAAAGTTCAGCTTGAAGGAGTCTTATTATGAATACAAAGAAGAAAGGAAATATTTACACTCAAACATTTTTTTCATATTTAAAGAGTAAACAGTCTTTTGAAGCATTTTTCACCAATGTATTAAATTACAAAACACTGCTGTATTTTAAACATTAACAAGCATAATTTTGCAAAAATAGATTTGTGTAATTTTTGAAAAATCAAGTTTAATGAAATCAGTGTTTGTGCAATGTGATTTAATTATATACTTAACGTTACGTTCTAAATTTCAACTACATAACTTTCTCATCAATGCATACATACTCAAATAGAAGAAAGAATGCAAGTATCGGATTCAAAAATGTAAAATGTGTCTACATTTGTTAGTTTCCCAACCACATACTTGTGATACGTAATGTACGGTATAGCTCTTACGTCATCTAGTTTCCCTCAATGGAAAAATCGCCGAGGCCTTCGCCGGAAGCCTAACTCCAGCCGCGCCTTCGCTTCCTGTCATCCGTCTCCTGTTGTCCCCGGCCACCACCGGCGCGGCGCTGGGCTACAGCGCCGTGTCGTTTTTCGCTTCGCCTGCGGTGAGCGCGGTAGGCAATCTGCACGGCGCGGCGCCGACGTAATGTCCCCCGCGGGTTGGCAACGCTCCCTGGCGGCCTCTACCTCCACCGCCTCTCCCCCGCGCCCGTCGGAAACGTCTTTGCGCCTTGTGCGGAGGAGGCCGTGAACAGAAGGGGCCGAGGAATGGAAGGAACTCGCCAACGACGTTTTGAACATTACGCCTGCCGTGCTTTGTTGTTGGACACTACAACCAGGGCAGGGTGCTATTAGTATAAAATTGCTTACTTGCATGATGTATAAAATTGTATTTACTTTCTCTATCATGTAGTGGGGGTAATGTGTAACCATTTTTCAGCTTTACTATTTCATGAAAGAAGGTCATTAACAGATGGAGCTGTGAAATGTTTATAACGCGCAAATGAGGTGTTATGTTATTAGTACAAACTAGCATTTGTGATGGGTTACATATAAATGTATTTGCTTCATTTTTATATTTTGTAAAGGCAAGGTATGTTTGAAAAATTTTCATCTTTCTTATTTCACGAAAGAAGACGATTATCAGATGTCTTAAACATTAAGTCAGCTGAACTTTATTGTTGTAAAATACAGACAGGACATGGTACAAAATAACATACTTGCAGGTCAAATATAATTATATGTACTTAATATTTTAAATATTGTGAGGGGGTAATGTCTGACAATTTATTAATCTTCCCCATTGCACAAAGAAAAGTCATTAACTGGTGGAACTGAGGAATTATTGGAACATGCAAGCGACGTATTAAACATTAGATCTGCTGAACTTTGTTGTTGGAAACTACAAACAGGACAGGGTACTATTAGAAGGAAAAAGCGTACTCAGAGGTGGTCTTAAAGGGCATGTAATATCTTTACAACTTTTTTGAGGGAGTAGTCAATTTTCCTGTTTTTCCCTTACGGTTTCCCGCAGGAAGCCGTGAAGGAACTGAGGAAGGAATGGAACTCGGTACCCACGCCTTCTACACTACTAGGCTTACGAAACTGGTATATTGAAATCTAAAGATCGACAGTATAGCATGGGATATATTTGGAAAATTTCTATTCAATACACCATGTTGAAAAGTAGGTGTAAATTTAATGGCATCTTTATTTTGGAAGGGAAGATGCAATATTAAAAATTCGTCAATCTTTCCCATTTAACGGATGAGACCGTAAATAGACGAGTTACATCTTCATGATTTACGCTTTTCGAATGGCGCATCATTTTTAGTTGAATATTGAAAATAAATATAATGAACGTAAAATGTTTATTCTCTGTTAATCAGGTTTAAAACTCGATCGCATGAAAAATAAATCTTGAAAATTGCGTTTCTAATCAGGAAATTGAGAAACAAATTATCTGGAGTAGTAAATATTCCATGCTCGACCACTAAAATGATGGAAGTTGGTTTCACCTCGAAGCAATGTCCACACAGCGTGGTTTGAGACCGATGTATGGTTTTGCTGATTTCTTTGTAATTTGATCTCGACGTATGCAAGTCATACAGGACATATTCCATACCTTCTAAAATATTTTTATCAAAAGTTTGGAAGTGAATTGGAAGCCCATAGACTGAATGAAGTGTTCACCTGCAGTGTTTTTGAGAGAGTTTTAAGTGAAAATTGAATCCCTTAATCCTTCGCATTGCAATCACATATTTCAAACCATATTAACAAAACATTCCCAGTCTTCATTCACCTGAAACCTGTACGGAATTGGCACGATGCTCTACAATTACTACTGCATGTTTTCAGTGAACTATGTAGTGTGCGTGCCTTTGAAAATACCAACGCAAACATTAAACATTACCTGTTAACATGCATCATTAAAATGTCCAACACCAGAAATTAATTTAATTATTAGCTTGAATTACCAGGTAGTACTAATTGTAACGTACTTTGATGTAAAATACCACGTGAATTTGTAACAAGCTTGTTAACGGTACATAGTTCAGCAGTTAGTGATGGAATACGTGTGGTAAACTTTCAACATTTTTTATGGATGACAGCCTGACATGGACAACACGAGTTCTACTCTGGTTTAAAAAGTCTAAATTATTTCCATTAGTTTTATAAAATTAAATGGGTATTAGTAATAGAGAACACAATAAAATTATGCTAATATTATATGACGTATTGAAATGCACTATATGCAATTTTTAGTATTTACCTAGTATTGTGACTCTTCCCGTTTTATGTAAGTATTTTCTGAAAGCATTCCTTCATCAGAACTTACGCAAATGACAAAGGTGAAGCCACACAATTTTATTTTGAAGAGTTATATTCAAACTCAATTAGGAGTTTAAAAAATGTTTTCGGAAAAGTACTTTGTAAAAATTGATTGCTACGTTTTGAAAAACAATTCAAGAGCTCTTTATAAATACGACCGTAACCCGGAATACAAACTTTTTAGAGGAAGCGAAACACTGGGAAGTTGAGTCTTTCAAACTTCGACGAATTTCCACAAAACTTTTTGTACAGATAAAGACTGAGTTAAGTTCACAGTATGCAGTAGAACACCAGAAATCGTTCTTTTTGAATTATGAGAATTTTTGAAAAAATCTCAGTTCATTAACTAACTGTTTTTGTTCCATTATTAATACATCTTTGATTCGTTTTTATTTCTCCTCTGATTTAGTTATTAGTTCGTTAATTCATCCAAGCAGGCGATCGATCAACTCATGCATTTATTGACCTATTTACCCTTGCATTCTTTTATATATTTAGAACTGTATCAAGGCAATGGAGGAAAAAGTTCATTCTATATGCTCTATTACGACGGCACTGCCTTTTGCGGTAGAGTGAATCGTTTCATCTCTGTCCTATTGTCATAGCGTCTACCACAGCGGGGTGAATAGTTTCATCCTCGAAGCTCACGATAGTATTACGGTGAGGCGAAATGTTTTATCCTCTAAATTGTATTACGATTGTACTGTCTGCCTCGGCGAGCCAGTGGGTCGAAAGGTTTCATTCTCTGGGCCCTATTTCGACCATCTACAGCGGTGGGGTGAACAGCTTCACCTACTATGCCCTGTTTTCGTTGTGCTGAGTTCTTTTTCAAGTGGTGGTTCCTGTGTGTGCGCAGGTCTGCTGTTCCACCGCGCGGTGCTGATGTCGGGGTCGGCGCTGAGCCCCTGGGCGCTGGTGGAGGCGCCGGCGCGCTACGCCCACGCGGTGGCGCGCCACGCCAACTGCAGCCCCGAGCTGCCGCGCCAGGCGCTGCTGCGCTGCCTGCGCGACCGCCCGCTCGACGTGAGTACCGCACGCCCTTCACACTTGCCCTCGCGCACACTCATTCCATGTTTCACTCGCAATGCTCACTCTGTGGTGCTACACTCCACGTGCTCAGGCCTTCATACCCCGCGCCCACGCCCTTCACACTTCTCCGCTCGCGAATTTATTCCACAATTCACTGGCAATGCTCACGTTATGGTTCTACACTCCACGCTCTTAGGCCTTCACAATCCACGCCCAAGATCTTCACACTTCTCCTCTCGGGAATTCATTCCACGTTACACTGGCGATTCACACACTATGGTTCTATACTAAATGTTCTCAGGCCCTCACACTCCATGCCCACGCTCTTCACACTTCTCCTCTCGCTCACTCATTCCATGTTTCACTTGCAATGCTCGCTCTGTGGTGCTCCACTGTCTCAGGCCTTCACACTCCCCGCCCACGCCCTTCATACTTCTCCTCTCGCACATTCATTCTACGTTTCACTTGCAATGCTCACTCTGTGATGCTACACTCCATCTCTCATCCCTTCACTCTCCGCGCCCACGCCCTTCACACTTCTCCTCTCGCAAATTCATTCCACAATTTACTGACAATGCACACGTTATGCTTGTACATTCCACGCGCTTAGGCCTTCACAATACACGCTTTCTTCCTTCACACTTCTCTTGCGAACTCCTTCCACGCTTCACTGGCAATGCTCACGTTATGATTGTACACTCAACGGTCTCTTGCTTTCACACCCCGCGCCCAGGCCCTTCTCACTGCTCGCAAATTCATTCAACAATTCTCTGACAATGCACACAATATTCTTCTACACTACACGCCCCCAGGTCTTCACAATTTTCTTTCATTTTCGCAGACACACAATTCACTCTTCGTCTTTCCCACCGCCTATCCACGCAATTTCACATCTTCACTACACATTTTTACTAACAATGCACACTTCCTGCTCCTACACTCCACTCTGTGAAGCCCTCACACTCCAAGTTTTCGCCTTTCACAGATCCGCAATTCACTTTTATCCTCTCACAACCTCCACGTAAAATCCTTCTACACTTTCGCATACCCACAATTCACACTGCTTAATACTCTTCACGCTTCCATGACTTCACATTTCACGCTTACGGCTTTCAGACACGCAATTCACACTTCTCCTCTTCCATCTCCTTGCCATGCAATCACGCATATTCATTTCACATTTTCAGAGTCAATTCACGCACCAAGCTGCAACACTCCACGCTCTGAGGCTTTTACAATTCACGAACACGGTTTTCACAAACCAGTCATTCACACTTTTCCTCTCACATCTTTCATGTAATCATCAAAATCATTCAAGCCTTTCACAATTCCCACAATTCATATTCCTATGCTCCTACACTCACGTGTACGCCTTTCATAGACCTACAATTCACAATTTTATTATTATTATTATTATTATTATTATTATTATTATTATATGCTTCTACATTCCGCTCACTCAAACTTTTCAAATACTCGCAATTCACACGTCATCTCTCCCTCCCTCCACGCAATCACGCAAAATCATTCCACTAGTTAACATAATTACCATTGACTCTCCTATGCTCCCCCATTCCACACTCTCAGGCTTTCACATTCCACATTCTAGCCTTCACTCCACGTATTCTCTCGCGTATTCACAGACCCACCACCCATCCCATCCCCTTCCCCCGTAATCACGCGCACATTTTACTCTTGCACGCACCCACCATTCACACACTTGTGCTACCACACTTCACCCCCTCAGACTCACACGATTTACGCGCACGCCTTCACGCACGCACCCACATCTACCTTCTCTGCATACCCTTACCCATCTACACTCTACACTTTCATGTACACACAATTCACACACTTCATATTCTCAGTCACTCTTTCCACTAGCCAACAGCACTTAAGTCAGAGCAACCACCAACTTTGCTAAATAGTTAAACGATACTTCTCTCCCATACATACTTTATGTATTGTTAAGTAGATAACATTTAATCCCGTGTAGAGGTTTTGCTCTTAAGTTTTGTTTCTTTCTTACTTAAATGTCAACTATCGTTAGATTTATGGTCGATGTATCTAATAACAAATAATTTTGAGAATCTGTGCTATCATTTATTTATTTATACATTGTTTTTCTTGACACAATTTATATTTCTTGTAAGTACATTTTAAAAAACAATCACTTTTAAGTCTATTCATATTAAGTATACACCACTTACTAAATAGTCGATGGCATTTGATACGTCCTTCTGCAACCTGTAGCAATTTTGTCTCTCAAACGTAGCGTCCTAGGCTTACTTGGCAACGTTGTTAACCCTGTTTTCTCAGACACAGAATTTTACGGTATTCAATCAACCGTCATGCATTATTTGCTCACTTAGAGGTGGTGTAAGAACACTGACCCTTATTTGGATGATTAAATTTGTTTAGTGGATACATATCCCTTAAAATTCATCCTTCAATATAGAACTGTTCAATATTTCAGCTGTATACCTTTAAGAGGAATACCTCAATATGGTGATTATATACTGCCTTAATATGGTGATTGATCATGCTCTGTATCACGAATTTCTCGATTATCAATTGATACTTTAAGAGATATAAGAATCCCGTATCATAAAATAAGTATATACATTAAAAGTGCGTGATTTTATGATAGAGAGATCTGAAGTTTTGCGTTGCAAAAGCACTCTTCTTCTGTGAGTGGGGGCGGGGGGAGGGGGAAGTAAGCTTCACGCGGCCTCTCGCCACCTGAGACGCGCAGGGAAACGCTAATTGCCTCCATTGCTGTTCCAAACAGAAAACGCAACTTCTCCAATTATAAAAGTACCGCCCACCGGCATTCTGGATGGGATGAGGAAAATCCGGAAATCGGTGAAAATTAATTTCAACGCAAAAGTTAGGAAACCATTGATAAACAGACACTGACAAACCGAATTTTAAATGAACGGAAAAAATCGAAAGTGTCGTAAATGTTTGCTGTTATTACTTTGACATTTTATCGAATACATTTTTAACAGAATTATAATTTTAAAATAATTCCTCGAAAGGTGTTGGAGTTAACTGCTGTATATTTTTGTCACTTTTTGTAAATACACTGTTGGCGCTAGCATTCTTTCATGTCAAATTCATTGGGAAATTGTATATGTTTTTAAATTTGCAACAAGGATCTCTTATTTATATTTATAGCAGTGTACTGCCAGTTGGTAATAAATGAAATATTAATTGAACACTGTTTTCTTTCACACATTCAAGTCGAAACAAATAACTAACACGAATCACACAATGGAGCAAAAATAAAATAATTTTTACTACATATTTTCAAAATTGTAGTTATCTGCGGTGTTTGAGAGACTGCGTAATGTTCTAGCAGCAGTACTCTACTTTTCCCGGATATTTTTGAACACATACGTATATTACACAGGAAAAGGAATGAGTTATATCTACAGGCTATACCAATCTTAATTTGTTCTGTGCAGTACTCTCCGTTCCCTTCCTATCGCCACACATTTGCTGTTCTTTGTCTAGCCCCACATCCGCCCCCTCGCGGTGGCTGTGGTGTAACGGTTAACGTATCGGACTGTTATACTCAAGTTGCTCACTCAAGAGCGAGTTCAACCAGATCGAAGCTGTGGATTTTTAAAAGCTTTCTTCGGAGGGGAAGTAAAGTCGGCTCATCAAAATACATTTTGATGAATATTCTTAGTTTTTAAAACATTTTTACTTTTTCCCACCAAGTGATTATTTTCGATATATGGTCATCTTCAATCTCAATTGGTCCAAGGATTTTTCAACATTTATTCTGAACCACTCTCTATCGTGCTAAAAACCATGTTCAGGTAGAACTCTTTCCACAAGCGTGTTTACTTCTCCTCTAGCGCGTGTGCCATGCCCGAGTACAAACAGAAACTTGTGTATTGTTTTGAAGCTCACGTGCATGAAATCGCATCAATAACAGACAATAACTAACTATAGATTTTTATGAACAATGTTATTTTTTAGTTTAATATAAAATAATAATTTGAAAAAAAATGATCTAAGTTATGCTTCAGAAAATATTTTACAATTAAGTTAAAACCTCATCGAAAGCAGTTTTTCCATAGATAACATTCTGTCCGTTTGTCCGAGGTAATGTATGCACCAAGAGCGTTGTTAGGATTCTATTGACTGAGTGGCGACGTAAATCTCAAGGACTTTTGTCACCCAAGAAGATAAGAACTAGTTAACGTTCGTGGTACATATAGGATTTTATTTCTTACCTATTTTTAATTATTCAAATTTATTAATTTACTAATTAACTAAATGTTAATTTTTATTCGGTTTGTCTTTCAACATTTCCCTTCCATATCCTGTATTTTCATATATTCCTTTGATCGGAGATCAGCAGAACTAAATGCCCTGCAACACATTCCTTATAGACGAGAAACAATCATGCCCACGGCAGAACTCTCTCCCGCGACCGAAGCGCTAAGTCGGTACATGATCTTATCCACCTAAATCATCCAGGTCGGCTAAAAAACAGACATTTAGGGCTTAAGACGGAGAGTGGCTTTCACCAATTAAATAAATGTTTGTTAAATGAAATATTTGTATATCCAGTTGCTTTAACTATTAGTAGATTTTGTTGATTAGTCAGTCAGAATCAAATAATGGTTAAAGCAACGGAAAATTGAAACGTCGTTTCATTTTTTAAAAAATTAATAAAACATTGTAGGCTTTCACGGTTGCATATATAATTAATAATACCTTCCAAGCTAGATAATAGTGATCTCTTGAATACTACGCGCCCAACGTCATGACTGCCGCAGTCGCAGATTAAACATTTGAACGCGTAATTCCAATAAACAGCGGTTATCCAGCCCGAAATGTATTATTAGTAAGCTTTCATTAAATTGTGCATGGTGCATAGATACCGTTGATGGTGTAGAGTCCCCCCTGAAAACTAAAACGTCGTTTATTTTTTTATTAATAAAACAATATAGGCATTCACGGCTGGATACGTGATTAATAGTACCTTCCAGGCGGAATTACCGTGGTTTAAACATTAAACATTTGGGTGCATAACGTCCAATAGACCACGGTTCTTCAGCCCGGAAGGTATTGTTAATAAACATTTATTAAAGTGGTGCATGGTGCGTAGATACCGATCAAGGTGTGAAGTCCCCCCTGAAAACTAAACCGTCGATTAATTTAACAGACGTTTATTAATAAAACAATGTAGGCTTTCACGTCTGGATACACGATTAATAGTACCTTCCAGGCGGGATAATCGTGGTTTAAACATTAAACATTTGGGTGCGTAACGTCCAATAGAGTACGGTTATCCAGCCCGGAAAGTATTATTAATACATATTCATTAAAATGGTGCATGGTGTGTAGATACCGTTGATGATCCCGTAGATACCGTGTACTCTCTAAAAACGAAAACGTCGTTTAAGAAATTTATTAATAAAACAATGTAGGCATTCACGGGTTTAAATCGTGGTTCAAATAGTAAACATTTGGGCGCATAATGCCAATAGACCACGATTATCCAGCCCGTACGGTATTGTTAATACACATTTATTAAATTGGT